AGAGTATCAAGATTGGAAGATAAAGTGGACGAACTAGACCACTCAAGCAAAGATTATGAAAAATTTAAGAAAGCACAAGAATGGAATATGCAGGAATTGTGTGACACCATAAAAAGACCAAACTTACGCATCATAGGCATACAGGAAGGAGAAAAATCCCAAAATAATGGCATGGACCAGATCTTCGACAGAATCGTGGAAGAAAATTTCTCAAAATTAAAGACATGCCCATACAAATACAAGAAGCATATAGAACACCAAACAGACAGGACCAGAAAAGAAACTTTCCACAACACATCATAGTAAAAACACTAAATGTAAAGAACAAAGAGACAACACTGAAAGCTGCAAAAGAGAAACAAGAAGTCACATATAAAGTAAAACCCATAAGGATTACAGCTGACTTTTCAGTGCAAACTATGAAAGCCAGAAGAGCCTGGACCAAAGTATTCCCAGTTTTAAATGACCACAGATGCCGACCCAGACTACTATACCCAGTCAAAATGTCTATTATAGTCGAAGGGGAAAGAAATATCTTCCATGACATAAATAGGCTGAAGGAATTCATGTCTACGAAACCAGCCCTTCAGAGAGGTCTGGAAGTAACACAAAGAGCTGAAGAAAGGAATGACTATACCCAAGGGATTGTGGAAAGAAATCCAATGAAGGTATAACTGTGGAAAAGTACAGCTACATCACGAATGTAAATAGAAATAAAAATGACAGGATTCAATACTTATCTTTCATTAATAACTTTAAATATTAATGGACTGAACTCCCCAGTCAAAAGACACAGACTAGGTGAATGGGTTAAGAAACAAAACCTATCTTTTTGTTGTCTGTCTACAAGAAACCCACCTCACTTTCAAGGACAGACATTATCTTAAAGTGAAAGGATGGAAAAAAAAATACACAAAGCAAATGTACTAAGAAAAAAGTAGGTGTAGCAATTCTAATATCTCACAAAATAGATTTTAACACTAATCAGAAGAGATAAAGAGGGCCACTTCATTCTGATCAAAGGAACAATAAATCAAGAAGATATTACAATCATGAACTTATATTCACCAAATTCTGGTGCACCCAACTTCATAAAAACAATACTACAGGACTTTAAGACCCAGATTAATCCCAACTCATTAATAGTAGGGGACTTCAATACCCCACTGTCTCCATTAGATAGGTCAACAGGGCAGAGAATTAACAGAGAGACATCTGAATTAAACAATACCATATATCAAATGGACTTAACAGACATCTACCAAGTATTCCACCCAAGCACTAAAGGACATACTTTCTACTCAGCACCCCATGGAAACTTCTCCAAAATCAACCATATACTGGGGCACAAAACAAACCTCAACAAATACAAAAAGACTGAAATAATTCCGTGCATTCTATCAGACCGCAATGCAATAAAGTTTACAACACCAGAAGAAGCCCTAATCACCACATGAACACATGGAGATTAAACAACACACTCCTGAATGATGAATGGGTCAAAAGAGAAATTAAGAAAGTAGTAAAAGTATCTTGTAATTGAATGAAAAGGACAATACAACACAATAAGGCCTCTGGGACATGCTGAATGTGGAA